GCCACCTTAGGTGTATGTGGCTGGCGCCTTAACCACTTGAGCCACAGGCGCTGAGCCATGCCTGGCTATTTTTAGAGACAAAAGTCTCGCTCTGGTTCAGGCTGGTCTCGAACCTGTGAGCTCAGGCAATCCAACTACCTCGACCTCCCAGAATGCTGGGATTACAGGAGTGAGCCATTGCATCCAGCCTGCAAGATTGTGCTTTTAATCATTAAGCTTTCCACCACAAGAAAAGATGGTTCTGTCAGGGAATACAGTAATGAGTCTTGGCTCCTATGGCATTTTTGATCTATAGTTGGAAAGTAAGGGAAGGTTCTCAGCATTCAAATTATCACTCTAATGAACTGAGAGAAGTGCTCTGAGAGAAAGGAATGTAGTTATTTGTGAATTCTGACCTTTTTTTGGTCTCTCAGTTAACAAATGATAACAACTGTAAAAAGTGTCTAAAATGTTAACAGTGAGTATCTCTGTGGTGAGATGAATTTTACTTTTTCTTTGTATTTTCCTGTATTGTTTGAATTGTTTATAGTGACAATATATCTTTTGTGTGTGTGTGAAAGCAATACAGTCATTAAAGGAACAAGTAAAAATGAAACAGAAAAGAAATTTTTGAATTCAGTAAATAATTTTAACTGTGATACTTGATAACTGTACACAAACTTACCTATTATGCTTTAAAATAAGTTTTTTTTGTTTGTTTGTTTTGTTGTTTTTTTTGAGACAGAGTCTCAAGCTGTCACCCTGGGTAGAGTGCCCTGGCGTCATATCTCACAGCAACCTCCAACTCTTTGACTTAAGCTATCCTCTTGCCTCAGTTTTCTGTTTTAGTAGAGACAGGGTCTCCCTTTTTGCTCAGGCTGGTCTCAAACCTGTTGAGTTCAAGCTATCCACCTGCCCCGGCCTCCCACAGTGCTAGGATTATAGGCATGAGCCACTGCGCTCCCCACCTGTTTTGAAGTAAGTTAAATGGGCTTTTAAAATTTCAAAGACATTGTAGTGATGTAGGTAGAAAATGTTTACAAGTATTAATGACTTACAGAGGAATTCCAGTCAGGATATTGTATTTTTGCCAATTTTCATTGAATCTTGAACTGTTTATATTCACCAAAGAAAATGAAGGGATTTATGGGGAAAAATTGCCCTATTTCTCTGCCTTAATCTCTTTTTTCTCTGATTTCTTGTTCTCTTGCTGGAGTTTTGTGGGGTTTTTTTTGAGTGACTTTTGATATAGAACTATTTAATTTGTTTCAGTGGACTCTTTTGAAACCATGCTGAAGTCATTATTAAGGTATCAATCTGGCTGTGGAAGTGGGAGTGAAAACCACATGAGGAAAAAATTATATGAAAATGGTGTGACTGATTCTCTGCAGAGTAATTTTGATCTCCTGCTAAAGGTAAGGTTATAAATTGTTTGGTCCGCTCGTTCTACAATATAGATAGTAGTATGTTTTTTGTCTATTGGTGTGTCTTGTCTTTGTTGCTCTTTTCTTGTCTCTCTAACTTTTAACTTCTGAAATGTTAAAACGAAAACACACACACATCAAAAATAAAAGAAAATAAAAATTTTAACATCTGGACTCACTGTATAAGTTAGAATGATGAGAGTAGGGACAACCCGACTATGTTTTCTGTATCATTTGGTTTGTCCTTGTTTTTAGGCTAGACTCTTAGATCAGTGTTTCTCAAAACATGTTGTGAGCTTATCTGAAATATTTCCTGTTATTAAGAATGCAGACTGTTGAGCCTCTACTTGGATGTATTGAATAATCAGGAGAGGGAAGAGCTATTTTTACGAAGTTCCACAGATGATTTACAGATTTTGAGAACAACATTCTAATCCATACTATTTCCTTTGTTTCCCTAAAGATCCTTAGCTAAACCCTCTGTGCTACTTGATAGGTCTCTGTATCCCCAGAGGACTGTTCCAAACCTTCACTCACTTTCTAGTATTGCCAGTCATAGCCACCTCATTTGCTTGCTATAGATGGCCCTGTCTCCTTCTCTACAGAGATTATAGAGCTCTCTACATGTGAAATCTATCAGTTTCCTAGTCCTCCCCAACAAACTATCCATTGCAGTCCTTTGTTCTTTCTCCTGATTTTTTTTTTTAGTATAGCAAAGAGAAATTTTATTTAAGAATAAAGAGAAAGCACTTAGAGAGTTGGAGGTGAGAATAAAGAGAAAGCACTGAGAGAGCTGGAGGTGAGTCCCTCTCCCAAATATGAAGAGAGGTGTAATCCTCTAGACTTAAGACCCCTAGATAAAAGAGCCCACGTGGAGACTTCTGAGTGAGTTCTTCAGTTCTTTCCCCTTTCCAGAAGGTCTGGTGCTTTTTACTTTTTCTGTATTCCTTTCTAACTTCTAATAAAAGTCTATCTTACCACAAAAAAAAAAAAAGAAGAAGAAGAAAGAAACGGAACCACAAAGGCAGTGTAGAGATATAAATATCCTTTCTCTCTCTGTTTGAAATTATTTGTAACTCTTTCATTGGTGTCTTTGTGCTACCATGCACAAACTGGAGCAGTACAGGCAGCATGAATAGAAAAGCAAAAGTAATTATGCCCAGGCTTTAGTATAGCAAAGAGAAATTTTACTTGAGAATAAAGAGAAAGTTTAGAGCACTTCCAAAGAGAGTTCCGATTGAGTCCCTCTCATGATTTTAAATCTTTTTTTTTTTTTTTTTGAGACAGAGCCTCAAGCTGTCCCCCTGGGTAGAGTGCCGTGGCATTACAGCTCACAGCAACCTCCAACTCCTGGGCTCAAGCGAGTCTCCTGCCTCCGCCTCCCAAGTATCTGGGACCACAGGCACCCGCCACAACGCCTGGCTATTTTTTGGTTGCAGCCGTCATTGTTGTTTGGCGGGTCCAGGCTGGGGATTCGAACCCGCCACCTTAGGTGTACATGGCTGGCTCCTTAGCCGGTTGAGCCATAGGCGCCGAGCTGATGATTTTAAATCTTAAAGAATCCTTTCTTCTGTATAAAGTTAATTCATACATTTAAAAATAATGTAATTTATGGGCATAGTAGCTCACGCCTGTAAGCCTTACACAAGGTGGGAGGATCACTTGAGCTCAGGAGTTCCAGACTAGCCTGAGCAAAGCAAGATCCCATCTCTATCAAAAATAGAAAAATTAGCTAGGTGTGGTGGCAGGTGCCTATAGTCCTAGCTACTCAGGAAGCTGAGTTAGGAGGTTACTTGAATCCAGTTGAAGGTGACTATGAGCTAAGCTGAGGTCATGCCACTCTAGTCCAGGTGATAGAGCAGGATACTGTCTCAAAAAACAACAACAAAAAAAACTCCATTCGGAGCCTGTTGCTCGGCAGCTAGGGCCACAGCCATAGCCACATACACCAGAGCTGGCGGGTTCAAACCTGGGCTGGGCCTGCCAAACAACAATGACAACTAAATCAAAAAAATAGCCAGGAGTTGTGGTGGGTACCTTAGGAGGCTGAGGCAAGAGAATCAATTGAGTCCAAGAGTTTGAGGTTGCTGTGAGCTGTGACGCTATGGTACTCTACCAAGTGCAACATAGTGAGATTCTGTTTCAAAAAAAAACTAATGAAAGTAATAAGTAATCATTGTAGAAAACAAGAGAAATATAACAATATAAAGAAGTCACCCTTAATTTTTACATACTCACACATATAATTTTTATAGACGTATAGATACATATACCCCAGAGTCCTAGGATTACAGGTGTGAGCCACTGTGCCCAGTCTGATATACATTGTTTGTATCATACTACATATACAATCTTATATAACTTTTCACTTTTTTTTAATTTTAATTTTAATTTTTTTGAGACAGAGCCTCAATCTGTCCCTCTGGGTGGAGTGCTGTGGCATCACAGCTCACAGCAACCTCCAACTCCTGGGCTTAAGCGAGTCTCCTGCCTCCACCTCCCAAATAGCTGGGACCATAGGCGCCCTCCACAACGCCTGGCTATTTTTTGGTTGCAGCCGTCATTGTTGTTCGGCAGGCCTGGGCGAGATTTGAGCCCTCCACCTTAGGTTTATGTGGCTGGTGCCTTAGCCCCTTGAGCCACAGGCGCTGAGCCTAACTTTTCACTTTAAAACATAACAAGGGGGCGGCGCCTGTGGCTCAGTGAGCAGGGTGCCAGCCCCATATACCGAGGGTGGCAGGTTCAAACCTGGCCCCAGCCAAACTGCAACATAAAATAGCCAGGCATTGAGGCAGGCGCCTGTAGTCCCAGCTACTCGGGAGGCTAAGGCAAGAGAGTTGCCTAAGCCCAAGAGCTAAAGGTTGCTATGAGCTGTGACACTATAGCACTCTACCGAGGGTGACAAAATAAAACTATTTTTCTAAAAAGAAAATAATAAATAAATAGCTAGGTGTTATGGTGGGCCCCTGTAGTGCCAGGTGTGGGACTGGGTTGATTACAGGTATGAGCCACTGTGTCTAGTCTGATACACATTTTTTGTATCACACTATATGCACAATCTTATATACCTTTTCATTTTAAAACATAGGGGCGGTGCCTGTGGCTCAGTGAGTAGGGTGCCAGCCCCATATACCGAGGGTGGCAGGTTCAAATCTGGCCCTAGCCAAACTGTAACATAAAATAGCTGGGTGTTGAGGTGGGCACCTGTAGTCCCAGCTAATCGGGAGGCTAAGGCAAAGGAGTTGCCTAAGCCCAAGAGCTGAAGGTTGCTATGAGCTGTGACGCTACAGCACTCTACTAAGGGTGACAAAATGAAACTCTGTCTCTAAAAACAATAATAATAAATAAATAAATAGCTGGGTGTTGTGGCGGGCCCCTGTAGTCCTAGCTACAAGGGAGGCTGAGGCAAGAGAATCACTAAACCCAAGAGTTTGAGGTTGCTGTGAGCTGTGATGCCCCAGCACTCTACTGAGGGTGATGTAGACTCTGTCTCAATAAATAAATAAATAAATAAATAAATAACATAAAAACCATAAATATTTTCTCTTTTTTTTTTTTTCCCAAAAGTAACCTTAAAATTATACTTACCTTTTCCTGGTCATGATTTTACAATATGTAGGAAAATTCAGAGAAGTCCAAAGTATAAAGTGAACTTTTTTTTTGAGATGGAGTCTCAGTTTGTTTTCTAGGTAGGAGTGCTGTGGTGTCAGCCTACCTGACACCAGCCTCAAACTCCTAGTCTCCTCCTGCCTCAGCCTCCCAAGCAGCTGGGACTATAGGCACCTGCTACGTCACCCAGCTAATTTTTCTATTTTTAGTAGAAACAAGGTCTCACTCTTCCTCGGACTGGTCTTGAACTCATGAGCTCAAGGGATCTGCTTGCCTTGGCCACAGAGTGCTAGGATTATAGGCATGAGCCACTGTGCCTGGCTTCCCATTTCTGTACACGAACCTGAGACAGCTGAGATGGTCATAAGTTGTGTACTTTTTCTAGAGTTTACTGCAAAAATTCATGCTTATTAAGAAAAATATTTTCTGAAAGTAAACAAACTTTGATCTTTAGGGAAAGAAAATCTTATGATGTTACTGTATTCATTGTTTTAGAGTACTACAAACCATGCCCATGTGAGACAGTGAACTTAAATCAGTAAATGTGTATGTTTTGAATGCTCTACCGGTCAACCGTTCCCATCTGTCTCCTTTTCAGTGGGCCTCCCTATATCATGAGACATGACAATTAGGACAATTAATAACCCTACAATGGCTTCTAAGTGTTCAGGAGGAAAGGAAGAATTGCATATCTTTAGATCAAAAGTTAGAGGCTTAGTACCTATAGCTCACTGGCTGGGGTGCCAGCCACATATCCCAGAGCTGGTGGGTTCAAATACAGGGCCTGCTAAACAATAGTGACAACTCCAACCAAAAAACAGCCAGGCATTGTGGTGGGTGCCTATAGTCCCAGCTACTTGGGAGGCTGGGGCAGGAGAATCGCTTAAGCCCAAGAGCTTTAGGTTGCTGAGAGCTGTGATGATCGCAGCACTCTACTGAGGGCAACATAGTAAGACTGTCTCCAAACAAACAAACAAAAAAAAATCAAAAGCTAGAAATGATTACAGTTAGTGAGGAAGACATGTCAAAATCTAGACCTCTTATACCAGTTAGCCAGCTATAAATGCAAAGAAAAACTTCTTAGGGCCAAGCAAATTGGCTTATGCCTGTAATCCAGCACTCTGAGAGGCTGAGGTCAGCAGATTACCTGAGCTCACGAGTAAGAGTTCGAGACCAGCCTGAGCTAGAGCAAGACCCTACCTCTAAAAATAGCAGGGTATTGTGGTGGGCACCAGAAATTCCAACTACTTGAGAGGCTGAGGCAAGAGAATTGCTTGAGCCCAGGAGTCTGAGGTTGCTGTGAGCAATGATGTCATTGCACTCTACTCAGGGTGACATGATGAGACTTTGTCTCAAAAAGAAAAGTTATTGAAGGAAATATGCTACTCCAGTAAACACAGAATGATAAGAAAATGAAACAGCTTTATTGCTCATACTGAGAAAAATTGCTTTTTGTTTGTTTTTGTTGAAACAGAGTCTTACTTTGTCACCTTTGATAGAGTGCTGTGGCGTCATAGCTCATAGCAACTCAAACTCTTGTGCTCAAGCAATCCTCTTGCCTCAGCCTCCCAAGTAGTTGGGACTACAAGTACCCACTGTAGCACCAGACAATTTTTAGAAACAGGGTCTTGCTCTTGCTCTTGCTCAGGCTGGTCTTGAACTCCTGAGCTGAAGCAGTCTACCCACCTTGGCCTCCCAGAGTGCTAGGATTACAGGTGTGAGCCACTGTATTTGGCCCATGGAGAAAGTTTTATTGGTATGGAAAGATAATCAAATCAGCCACAATAGTCCCTTAAACTAAAGCCTAATTTTGTCACAGCAAGGCCCTAACTCTGTGCTACTCTAAGAAAGCTGAGGTAGATGAGAAAGCTGCAGAAGAAAAATTGGTTCATTGGAGACCAGCATGAGCAAGAGTGAGACCCCCACCTCTACTAAAAATAAAAAAACTAGGCCCTGCACCTGTGGCTCAAGTGGCTAAGGCACTGTCTTCATACACCTGAGCTGGCGAGTTTGAATCCAGCCCGGGCCTGCCAAACAACAATGATGGCTGCAACCAAAAAATAGCTGGGCGTTGTGGCTGGTGCCTGTGGTCCCAGCTACTTGGGAGGCTGAGGCAAAAGAATTGCTTAAGCCCAGGAGTTGGAGGTTGCTATGAGCTGTGATGCCACGGCACTCTACCCAGGGTGACAGCTTGAGGATCTGTCTCAAAAAAAAAAAAAAAAAAAAAACCCAAAATAGAAAAACTAGCTGGATGTTGTAGTGTGCAGCTTCAGGAGACAGTTAAGAGGATTGCTTGAGTCCAAGAGGTTGAGGTTGCTGTGAGCTGTGATGCCATGACACTCTACCCAGGGCACAAAGAGACTCTGTGTCAAGGGGGAAAAAAGTTGGTTAACAGAGTTTAGGGAAAGAAGCCATCTCCTTGACATAAATATGCAAAGTCAAGCAACAAGTGCCATAGAGAAGCTGCAAGTTACCCAAAGATCTAGCAAATATAATTGATGAAGGTGGCTACACTAAACAAAAGATTTTTTCAATGGAAACAAAACAGGCTTATATTGAAAGAAGGTGCCATCTAGGACTCTGATAGCTAGAGAGGAGAAATCAATGCCTGGCTTCAAAGCTTCAGAGGACAAGCCGACTCCCATGTTAGGGATTAATGCAACTTGTGCCTTTAAGTTTAAGCAAATGCTTATTTACCATTTCAAAAATCCTAGGACCCTTAAGAATTACGATAAATCTACTCTACCTGCACTCTATAAATGAAACAACGAATCCTGGATGATTACATATCTGTTTACAGCACAATTTACTGAATATTTGAAGGCAGTGTTAGTCTGACAGATCAAGTAATACCTGAATGCTTACTTTGGTTACAGAGTTGAACTATGTATACTGTGAAATTAATCTACTTGCTGGAGTTTTCTAAGATTTAGTAATCTTTAGATTGGTTTTCTTGTTCTCTTTTAGCTTTCAGAAGAATTATTAGATAAATGGCTGTCTTACCCAGAGAGCCAGCATGTACCCCTCAGCCAGCATATGCTTGGTTTTGCTATGAAATCTGTTACACAGATGGTAATGGGTAGTACATTTGAAGATGACCAAGAAGTCATTCGCTTCCAGAAGAATCATGGCACAGTAAGTCTAAGGCTGAATTTAAAATTATTTCATGAAATTGGATAGTCAAGTAATGCAGACTTTTCCTATTAAGAAGGTTTAAGAATTTTGGGGTGGTGCCTGTGGCTCAAAGGGTAGGGCGCCAGCCCCATATGACGGAGGTGGCAGGTTCAAACCCAGCCCCGGCCAAAAAAAAAAAAAAAAAAGAATTTATAGTGGAGAAATTCCTTGTTTGGGGCGAAAAATAAAAATGTAAGCAAAATGATTGTTGCTTTTTGTTATTATTATTGCAGTTTGGCTGAGGCCAGGTTTGAGCCCACCACCCTCCATATATGGGGCTGGCGCCCTACTCACTGAGCCACAGGCACTGCCCGATTGTTGCCTTTTTTAAAAGATTGAGAATTGCTTTTTATTAAGCAGTTACTTTTGAAATATAAAAAGCACATTGCTAAGAAAATTTTTTTTCTTAAGAGACAGGGTCTCGGCCTGGCGAGGTGGCTCACTCTTGTAAGCCAATGCGGGTGGATCACTTGAGCTTACGAATCACTTGAGCTAGAGCAAGACTCCCCTGTCTCTTAAAAAAAAAGAAAAAGAGCTGGGTGTTGTGGTAGACACTTGTAGTTCCAGCTACTCAGGAGGTTGAAGCAAGAGAATCGCTTGACCCCAAGAGTCTGAGGTTGTTATGAGCTATGACACCATAGCACTCTACCAGGGACAACAAAGTGAGACTCTGTCT